TATTTTTTAGCCTCCACTGAGCCTGGGCACTCCCATATGGGTCAGTGCAGCGCCAACTGCCTTCCTTCAAGTGCCGCCCAATTGCTCCAAACAGTGGTGTGCTTCTTCCTCTTCAGAAAGGCTCGAATGGACTCAGGGTTCCTCGGCACGGTGATGGCAGCCACAGCGTGTCGCAACAAAGCGCAATTCACTCCTTTGTCTTGGCCCCGCCTTGCAAAGAGTTGGCCGCCCGCTAATGGTGAGAACGCCACCCAAGTGGTGGCTCAATGGCGGGTAATTCGCTGGGCAAAGACAAAGTGTCGTTGGACACACAACCTCAGAGTGTGGTCGTGGGCATCTCGTGGACGCCGTCCAATCTATCAATCATCCTATCAACTCAATTCCCTCTCAAAATTAACGCCTTGCCACAAGCTGCATGCATTGTAAATTTTGGGAAAATAAATTATTGTTGTGTGGTGTTTTCATCAGACACGGAACAGCTGGAACTTTTATCTTGCAAGCTTTCAGAAAGAACAGACAAAAAGAAATTACTTTTAATTTGATTAAAAAAAATAATTAAAGAGAATAATCTTCCGGGCAGCTGGCCGGATCCTAAAAATGTATGGAAATCAAGCGAGCTAGGGAGAATGGGCTGTTTAGTTGCTTCAATGTTTTCTTTCCATTCAATATATAGAATTCTGTGGACCACTAGCATGGTCCTTTGTCCTCAGTTGGGATTTGAATATTATTACTTACGAATTGGCAGACTTGGGGTCCTCCTACCGCAAGACCCCGCCGCGTGGTGGGAATCAAGGGGGTTAGGGTGGGATGGCAAAATAAAAACAAAATACACTGGCCTCTATCGGCTCCCTGCCCCTACAAGGTCGTGTTCCTCCCAAAAGATTCATACGGTAAAAAGTATCATAAAAAATGCCTTCATTTATCAGGATATATACATACATTAATTAAGTTAGCCAGCTCTCCCGCGACCATTCTCTTCACAAGCTTCTAAAAAAAGTTCTAGCAAGTTGAGCGTTCTTCCGCCACCCACCCCGCTTTACTGCTTCCCAACAGTTAAATCCTCTTTTTTTTGTGTGTGTGTGTGTCTTCCCAAATAAATTCGATTGCTCACACTGCGTTAACACCCACCCCCAGGTCTCATTGCGTTATAACTGTATCCCAGCAGGACACGGCTGGCCCAGGCGCTGGTTGATGCCGCCAGCCCTGTGCCCACGAAAAATAAAAATAAAAAAAACAATCCTGTGAGGGAATTACTGCCGTCTCCTGGCTTACTCCGATAGTACAGGGTGATCGACCGTGACACCACGGTGAGGGATCAGAGCATAAGATCACCAGGGCACCTTGTTTTTCTTGGTCAAAAGAAGTGCATATTTAAAAAAAAGATAAATGGGAGGGGGGATGGGCATTTACTCACCAATTGAAGCTTTCTTTGACAACCGCAACAATACTTTCCGCAATGGACATACATGCTGTAGCGGAAGGGCTAGGTGCATTACGTAAATTGAGAATAAGTGGGTTATTTTGACCCTTTGTAGATGATCCGTCTGTGTTCGCATTCTCCACCACCTCAATGACTTTTTTTGGTTTCAAGGTTGCGGAGAGGACAGTGCGAGGCCGAGATAACTCAATGCAAAGATCCGACTCCAGAGCCCCATTTTCTGCAATTGCCAAACCCATCACACCACAGAAACTCTCCTCCACGTCCGAGTCTTTAAGTGAAGGTACTAGCTTACGAGCCTCATGGAGGAAAACCGTGCGACTGGCGTCGACGCAAAAAGTCCGAATTACAGTGTCAAAATGCTTTACAAAATTTACCCAACCGCCTCGGCTCGTAACCGAATGCCAGCAGTACTCGGCATCAAACCAATACGGCGAATACCCATAGCGATGTGTTGCCACAGCAGACCCGGGACCCACAATAACCTGCCGCCCACGTCGTTCATCCACCGTTGGTGTGAAGTGAACGCCGACGCTGAGTCCCCTCGTTTCATCCGGAGCGGGATAGACGTTCATTTTGACGAGGTCGCGTGCCTCTGGCTTTAACTGGTAATAACGTCCACGGAAACTGAAGGTTTGAGTCACTTTCTTTCCAATTCTGCTTAGTATTGGCCCAGATCGCTTCGCAGTAATATCGTTTGAAAGACCAGTACAAGTAATGACATTTTTAGCCGCAATTGTTTTCTCAGGACCCAACTGCCCCTCTTCACGTCCACGAATTAGCACCATCTCTGATGGCGCTTTCTTTTCTTCTTCTTCAAATGACAATCCAACAAAGTCCATGGCTTCAAATCGAAACTGCGCATTAAAGAGTCCTTTTGAGCCCTCATATAGCTCCTTTAACATATGGCGTGCCACAGCACTGAAGTCTGCGATGCCCGTATCCGGGGAATATAGGGCGTATACACCGCATACGTTGGGTTCCACTTTTTTAATTTCCTCCTCGTTCGCAAGAATTTTTAAATCGCGCACGCCATTTTCAATGCCCTGTTTGTATAACCTTTGCACCGCTGGAATCTCCAACTCATTGGCGGCAACAATAATTTTGCCCACACGATCGTAAGGAAGATTATTCCGTTTGCAATATTCCATCATGAGATCATGTCCTCTTGGACATAAACGAGCCATAAGCGAGTTTGAAGGATAATACATCCCTGCATGAACAACACCACTGTTGTGGCTCGACTGATGCTGGGCAACATCCGCCTCCTTTTCAAGCAAAATAACTCTTTTGTTGGGAAACTGCTTTCTTATTTCCCGCACAACCGCCAGACCAACTATACCACCACCCACCACCGCAACGTCGTAAAACTCCCGGCGGGCGTCTTTGGAGAATATGGAGACGGCATGCTTTGTTGCTGCCGCATCGGTTGTTATGTATTCATACTTGTACTTGTAATTGACCGCGGCGCCAACACCGCCAACGAAGCCAACGCCGCCAAGCCGGACGGCCCATGTGGAGATTTTAGATGTCATGAATGACTCAACTTCAACTGCGGAAGCCACCTCGAACAAGATTGCAAAAATAAAACTATTCCCCCCACCTCTCTCCTTCTTCTCCAAACATCTCCAGCAGCCCCAGAAGCAAAAAGTATCAAGTAAAAATAAGAAGAGAAAGTCAAAGACAAACAAAAAACACTGCAAAAAAAAAAAAAGAGGGAGGCGGGGGGGGCAGAGCATGTAGGGTGGCTAAATAGTTAAGCAGCCCAGAGCAGCAGCTACCACTTTAACATATATCCAACAACGGCAATAAGAAACAACTGGAAGAAAGTACTCATCGCCTCGATTTCGCCACAACCCTCTAGACGCCGTACCTCTTCCCAGCGACGCATTCAACACACTGAAAATAAGACTTGTGTAACAGTTGTGTCCATCATGTTCAAACGTAGAAGAACATCACTCAGCCGGCAGAAGAATTGTTCCCGCCGTGTTTCGTTTAATTGACGCAGTTCGTCCCACAGTTGCAAATCAGTCACCAAGAGTCGTTTAATTAGACGGGCCGTTGTCTCCAAAGACATGCTGTTCTTATTCGTCAGTGAATTCTTTCCCCATTCAAAAAGTGCGTCAACGATTCGCATGATGTCCTTTAAAGAAAGAGTATGGCCCAGTTCTTTTTCACTGTTTGGTTCGGTAACCGATTCGGCCCGCTGCACGCGCTCAGCCATTGCTGCATTAACGGCACTGAAAACCATATCTGTGACGTAAGTCACAATCATTAGCTCCGACTTTGCCACGGAGTCGCCTACACCACTTCCTTGTTGACCACGATACCTGCGGGGAATATAACCGTGATTCTGGTTGTACTGGCGGTCATTCGGTGCATTACGAAACATTTGGTACCGCTCTGTCACAAGAGGCCACAGCACACTAAGAGTGAAAAGAAGACTTGGTAAGTCGTCCGGCTGAAGTGTCGTGCCGCTGTTGCTAGACGGGGTGCGTGCCCTTGCCACACAAACTGCCTCCACAACAAAAAGTGCTGCTGTAATGAAACAACTTTGCACCTCCATTCCCCGCCGCGGTGCATCGCGCGCCGCACGTACCAGCAAGTCAAATAGAATAAGAAGGGAATGTGGCGAAAGTTCTTCTGCAAGTTGCCCAACACTCTGACTATTGACCTCTTCAAGGTGCTTCATCCGAAGTGCCGCCTGCATTTGTCGCTGCTGCAAACGTACCCTCGCCCGAACGGAGTTTAAAAAAGCAGATTCAGTACCCTGTTTACCATGCTCACGACGCAACTTGGCCCGTTGGCTCCGCGTAGCAAAGGCAAAAAGAGAATTTTGTCTAGACTTCTCCAAAAGTGCCCTCTGTGTGCCCGTCGACAACTGAGGAAACATGCACTTAACAAGCTGCATGAGCAATTTTTGCGAAACATGCTCTTCTGTTTGAATAAGCTTCATCGACTCCAGACCAAATAACAATCGTGCTGCCTTTACTGGAGGAAGTACCAATGACATCTCATTCATCTGTGTGACCAGGGCACCCTTGGCATTCTCACCACACTTCATCATTGCATCTTCCAGGCGTCGTAGTGTCTGGTGCATGGTGGCCTCTCCGTTCCCCTCATTGGCGTATAATACCAAGAGCGACGAAGCTGATGCCTGCAAGACCAAAAGAAGATCAAATAGCTCTTGCGCTTCTCCACAACAAGTGATAATGGCAGTTACGTCCAGTAATGGCAAGACATGGGAGCACATCGCCAGCGTTTCCAGCACCAATGAGCTTACTTCGCAAGATGAGGGTGGAAGCCACCGCAGAGGCGGAATCCTCTTCATTGAATCACCCGTAGAATTCGTTTCAGATATGCTTACTTCAACGGTTGCTTTGGAAGCACTTGAAGGAGGGGGTTCCTCTTTTGCCGTTTCTGATGTTGTCGTCATCATTTCCATCATCATCAACATCGCCGGGTCTTTGCTATCTCCATTCGAGTTGACGGGTACCAGCACGGAGGCAGGAACAGTTAAGCCCTTTTCACCCTTTAATCCTAATCGAGCCAATTTCCTGCGCCGCATCCTCCGTGAGGGAAGAGAAGCCACAAACCTTGGCGCACGCGTATTCAATGCATGTCCTTTGAGAGAGTCCTGCAGTGCCCCAAAGCCGAGACGAGTAAGAGAGAGAAGCATCACAATTACCGATGAGGCAGTGCCGACACCATTAACGCCGTTCTGCTTTCGGAAATCCCGTACCGCTGTCACCCATATTTCTTCACGCAACAAAAGGCGCCACAACCTTGCCGAGATGTATGGGCGTGAGAGAAGAGAACCCTGAAGTAGTGTAACATCCGCCTTAGCTTCTGTCACAGCGTCTCGGGCGGCGTTTAACGCAACCGTGTCCTCCCGTCTTTTCCGTACAGTATGTAACGCATGCTCGGTATTCTGCAGTCTGGATTCCAACCGACTCATATGATGGCGGTAAAGTTTTCGCCGTTCCTGCTCCATAAAATGCAGCGACGAAAGCAAACGCAGGGCATACTCTGGTTGGCGCATAAAATGTCCCTGAGACTTTAGTGCAGTGGATGCCGTTAAGATGGTTCCCTGTTGTAGATCTGTTTTGAAATTCTCCGGAGAAGATGGTCCCACACCGCTATGAGACTGTGACGGCGGTGGGACAAGTTTCGTACTCCTTTCCCTGGGCGGCTGTGTTTCGTGCTCTTTAGGCCTTTTTTGCGCTGCCGTTTTTTTGCCACTTGTAAGGGAGAGAAAACTGCGTTCCAGTAGAGAAACAGCCACCGGCACGTGACGAAAGAGCAACTTGTCCTTTACGGCAGCTCTTCTTTGAGCCTCCCCATTTTGTCTTACGTCCACGCCGGGGTGAAACAAAGAGGGGGAACGCTGAATAGCCTCCTCCTTCAGAATACGGCGAAGCTGCAACTCCACACGTTGGAGAGCAGCAATACGCTGCGACAGCAGCATTATCCGTTCTCCGGCGATGCCTCTTATTAAGCCACCCCTTTTGCTACACAAGCACACACAACTCCCCCTATTTATCACTTCCTGTCGGGAACCACCGGTGCCTTCAGTGGCAAAAAAAAAAAAAAAAAGGAACAACAACAAAAAAGTGTGCACAACAAATGAGAGCAATAAACTCCCGCGGAGGTGCACGCAACAAGAGAAAAATGGCCACATGAGTCTTCTGGATTTGCGGGCGCCAAGGACGGAGGCCCAGTACGGAAGGAGCAAAAAGTGATGCCTCCTTCCTCGGCGCCCCTTAGAGAAAAATAACACACACACACATGGACCGGCATATGTCACCCTCGTTGGTGACGTTAAGAGTCAGCGGGATTGAGGCAAAAGAAGTGCGTCTGTCTAGTTGCCTCATTGTCATTAGGCAGCAAATTTTCCACCGCGTAAATAGCAAAAAAAAAAAAAAAAAAAAAAAAAAAAAGAGAAGAAAAAAACACCAAAAAAAAAAAAAAAACTCTGACAGGAACAACATGCAAAAAAGAAAAAATTTCAAAAAAAAAAAAAAACATAGGGATATGGTGCACACCAAATAAAAAAAAAAAAAAAAAAATTTTTTTTTTGTTATTTTCCTTTTTCTTCTTATTTCCACTCTCCCCTCAGTTTCTTTGATCCTTTACTCCCTTCCAAGCATTTATCATTTCTTTGCTGTCAAACTGAGAGAGATGGAGAAACCACAAAGAAGGTTTCTCCCTTTAAGTTAAAAGAAAAAAAAAAAAAAAAAAGAAAACAACAAAGTTCACATCTCAACAGTATACGTTTTTCTTTTCTTTTTTCCTTCTTCCGGAACCTCATTTCCCATCTATGGAAGATATTGCACAGTTTCCCTCTCGTGCACAAAACTATTTCACATAAAAAAAAACAAAACAAACAAACAAACAAACAAACAACAAACAAAAACTTGACAAATCCTCAACCCCTGTCACCCCATTCATATTTATACAACTATCTATAGGTACATACACATGTACTCATACATGTATTTGAATATAGGGGATGGATAAGGTCTCGTACATATTCCTAGAAGGAGAAAGTATAAAAATGGGAGAATACAGTTTGATTCAACACGTCCAATATTCCAATTCAGCTAAGATTTATACAACGCCCGCACACCAATAAACAAACGTGTTCATAATTCAATTCACAACAACCGGGTTCTTTGGGAACCCACAAAGTAATGGCCTTTTTGAAGGGCCCCCAGCAACCACCGGACTCCTCTCCGCGTGAAGGGCAACAGCGGAGTGAATGGGATGACAGGAACAACCAAACCAGGAAAAAAAAAAAAAGAGGAAAAGAAAACAACCACCACACAAATAAACAAACAAACAAAAAAATAGAGAAGAAAAAAAGTTGCGGGCCCGCCACCTTCCAGCGCGGTGTCGTGAGAAACAAACCAATAAATAGGTATAGAAACAGGGTATTGAAACAAGCCGTCTCCCTCTCTTTCTCTTTCTTTCTTTCTATTTCTCCGTCCCCCTTTATTTAACCTCATCTGGTTGCACATCCGTTCAACACACCCCCAATAATTGTTCGTGTGTATCTGATAATATAAATGCATATGAATGTAAATGTGTACTTACATCCTTTCCCACTGTATTGCTGAATGTATGTAATAATCTTCTGTCCACCTTATTTACTTTTATTATCATCTCGTTATTATTATTTTTTTCGGCTTTTGTTGTTGTTGTTCTCTCATCCTCTTCTTTTCCTCCACTCATCAGCATCTCTCACAATCAGCTCTTCCACATGATACTTATATATAAATAAGAACAAATTCCTTACTAATTTCTCACCCAGATAAGTGTCCCATTCCATCAAAAATAACATTTCATCATGGCATTATCAATGATTTTCTCTTTTTTCCCTACCCCTTTTTTTTCCTTTTTCTTTCTGCATACTACATCCGTCCACTCATACCTGGCGCCACATTGGGGAGACCAAGAAATGGTGGTGGTGTCGGCCATCCCCAGCCGAGGGGTGGGACAGGCGGCATGCCGTACAACGCACCCATATTAACGGCTGGCATCATCACCGGCGGCGTTGGTGGAACAGGTGGCGGCAACCCAAACATGGGTACAACGGGCGGATTAGTAGCCGGATTCATTGCCCCCTCAAGATAGGAACGCTGCACATTAGGCGTATGATGGGCTGACGTCGGTGTTCGTGGACAAGCCCGCGCTTCTTCGTTCTCCTGAGACTTTGCCATGCTAGCGTAAATATCGTTAAACACTCCTTTTGTAATATCCCTCGTAACCTCAAGGGAGGCCGGACATTCCATAGAGAAAAGTACTTCAACCGCAGACCCGCGCAAAAGCGTCGCAAGCTGCTGAATAAAAAGATAAAGCTCGGTCGGGTTCGCACTAGGGCATAGTCCTGAGCAAAAAACTGTGATACGTTTAAAATCCACCTGATACTCTACACCAGATACATTCAAAGAGTACCCTCTTTCACGAATCAGTCGTTGACAGACGTTATATGCCTCCGTGTCGCGACGACGAGCATAATATACTCGCTTTTTCCCCTTGTTCATTCCACGACGAATAACACGTGGAAGTCGTAGTAGTTTCTCCTTGTTGTTTCCAGGTTCCACGGTCTCCAGAGGTTTTGACGCGTCCTCCGGATAAAGAACCTCGCGAGGGAGTTGGGCCAAATGGCTTGGAATTAATGACTCGTTGCTCATATGGGCTGTGAGATCCGCCACAACACGACCCATATTTTCGCCCCCATGACTTTCGACAGAGACAAGATCCCCGATGGCAAACGTTCCCCATTCACTCTTTGGTACATAAAATACGCCATATAATTGCTTAAATTTTACAAGAATATGTGTCATAATGGAGCACTTTGCATCGGTTTCACATGCTTCCCTGTTCGTTTTTACGGCCATTTCGTCTCCCACAGATTCTCGACCTTGTTGGGAAGCTTCCCTTTGACTGAGTAAGCTAAAGGACTGCTGGTGACCCAGTGGTGCGGTCTCAAATAAAGATTCGGTGCAGGACTTATTTTTGCCAATTGGCGTGGTATACCCTTGGGTTTCATTCTTATCCGAGTCCTTTTCGTCCCCGTTTTCAGGTGCTTCCACTTCACTCCTGTCCCATGCTGCGAGAGAACGCGTATGTCTCCTAGGAGGCCGTTCTCTCGCGTCATTTTGGCCATGAAAACATTCTGAAGAGACACAACCAAGGCGCAGGTATTCTTTTGTGGGATCTGCAGCAAGCCCAAGCTCCGGGCCCAGTTCCTTCCATGCGATGGAGTCCCATGAGAATTGCTCGCGGCTGCTCATTCGAGAATGTGTTGGCGAGCGTGCGCTGCCATTCTGTAGCGAAAAGCTGCTCTGAGAGCGAGAATGATGTCGTCGGTAACGAGGGTGAACTGTCAGCGTACTAACAAATACAGTGTCTTCCGACTCATGTGTACCGTCCTTCGCAAAAGACGCCCGTGACGGTACCACCGACGGCGGATGCTTGGAATCCCTCACGCCACAGTGCAAGACATGCGCTGATGACTTGTCAGCAACGTTCATTGGTACCGCTGCAATGTTTGCATTTGCGTTCCTTGTATTACTCTCATCTTCCACAGCCGTCGTCATTGAAACTGCCTGTTCGCCGCCGGTGGTAGTCATGGAGCTCTCCTTCTCCATATATATATATATATCACCCAGCTTTTTTAATGGCCGTGTATGAAAAGCAACACTCACTCACTCCCTGACTCACGCTCCTCCCCAATTTCGTTTTTTCTTTTTCTTTTTGCCCTCTCGCCTCCCACTTTTTTTCTTCACTTCTTGTCCTTCGGTCAATTTACAACACCCTCACACCAACACAGTAACGACAGCAGCGGCGGCAGCAAAAAAAAAAAAAACAAAGAAACAAACAAAGATGAACAACGACACCAGAAAAAGTAGGTAAAATTAAAAAAAATGAGCGCGTGCCTCCCTAATGAGTCTCCCAACGCCTAAAAAGAAAAAAGCAAAAATAAAAGAAAAAAATAACTAAATCAAAAGAAAAGAGGAAATGAAACGCCTATCCCTATTCTTCTTTTTTTTTTTTGTTGTTGTTCTTGTTCTTGTTGTTTGTTTCTTTCGTGAACTTAAAAAAAAAAAATTCCTTTTTAGTTTTTTTATTTATTTATTTATTTATTTTTCTTTTTCCTTTTGTCCTCGTGCGTGCTTTATGCGTCAATAAAATAACTGGAATTTGTCTTGCGTTCTCTACCCTAATTGTTAGTATTAAACTACTACGACAGGTGTGTGCATGTGGGACCACAAGCAGTAAGAAAGAGAAGTTCGGTTTGGGACGGAGAGGCACGGCGGCAGCAGCATCAAACACGCACACACGTGATGTACACAAACCCCAGACATGCTTCCAACACAATCAGGAATAAACGTAAAGAAGAAAAAATATAAAAAATAAAATAAAATAAAATAAAATAAAAGACAAGAGCGACGCAGGGAAGTATCGCAATTCACATACAACACACGTCACCAGCTCAGTCAACCCCGATGCAATTGTGAAGAAGAAAAAAAAAAAAGACAATTCCTCCCACCCCGCAACCAAAACAACAACATTATGAATGTATTACATGTAAATAATAATAAGAAGAGTGACGATGAGTGCAACACATATAATTCTTCTTCTTATTTCATGTCCTCTGCGGTTAGCGTAGCCCATTCATCTTCTGAAAGAGCCTCAGTCATTCTTTCATGACGCTCCCATTGGGACTTTTGAGCCGCCCGACGCCGTGCCGCGGCCTCGTTCATTTCACGATACCACGCGTAGCGTGCCGCACGCCGTGTACGGTAGACTTGCGGCGAAGGAAAGCACCTTTGTGCAGAAAGCGTCTCCAGAAGTGAAGAACGTAGCAGGTTGCATGTGGTGCAGGCGGAACAGTCGTAGACGCCAGTGACGTCATGAATAGCAGCAGAGAATGTGCGTTCTTCTTTTCGCCAATACGGCCGTAAGGAGATGCTGTGGAATAAGGCATTTGGCACTGCAAGAGGACATTCCACTTTCTCTTCTTCTTGTTGTTCTTTTGGCCGTTCCGTTCCAGGGTGCTCTGCCGTGTCAGAAGTGTCATCATAACCCGAACGCACAATGGTTGCCAGCGCGGCCAAGAGAAGAGCCTCCAATGCACGTCCATTCCTCTGCACATCCAGTTGTTTTCGCACAAGAGAAGTTCCGTCCCTTAAAACGTTACAGAGGCGCTGCACATCTTCATTAATGGTTTGTACACGCCAGGAGAATCTCGAGCATGCAACTGCAATAAATTGTTGTGATCTTGCTAGAGTGCGCAGAACATCACCAAGAGCGACCTGTGTAGACGGATCAAGCTTTATCGCCACGCCATGCCCATTACGAGCAGCGTCCACAGTAATGGACGACGACAACGACAAAGATGATGACGACGGGAATGGGCTCATGACGGGGAGCGGCAGCGTCTCGGAAGGGGCGATCGCCGCACACTTCTCATGTGAATGGTGTTTTGTGGCCTCCAACGTCTCGACAATTGTTGTTAGGAGGCGCAGCAGTCGCTGTTGGTTCTGTCGATGTTGCTCCCATCGCCGCAAAGCACCCTCCACGCGGTGCACGGCATCCTGCGGAGCCGCCGCCAAAACCATGAATATATTATTTTTCCCCGAGGAAAGCTATAAATAATAAGCAATAATAACAATAAAACGACAACTTTCTTCTACCAGTCCCTTTTTCTCTCTCTCTTCTTCCTTGAAAGCAGCAGAGAAAAACACAGCAGAAAGACGCATCCCCATTCATGACCGTGCACCCTCCACACCCAACGCACACATGCATGCATGTATGAAATGACCGCAAAAAAATCAAAGCGCAGGAAACTCACGAAACCGTGGGGATTCATCAGCAGGAACGCGGCATCGCTTCAAAGAGGGATAACACAACAAAATGCGGGACTCAACACAAACAAACGTCCCTCCTCCCTCTTTTGTTTCGTTTCATTCCTCCCCAGTTTCATTCTCACCGGCCAACAAAAAAACAAAAGACGAGTCCTCGCACAAACGCATGAGTCCGGTGGCGTCACGTGGCCACATCTCTCATCATGTGAGCGACGTCGCCAGGGAAGAGAGAGAGAGACACACAAGAAACAAAAAAAACAAAAAAAAAAGAAAAATAATTACAAATTTTTTTTTTTATTTTTATTTTACCGCTTCCATCAAAACACAAGGAAGAAGTTCAACAATAATAATTAACACGCCTCACACCTTCTTCCTCGCTTGATTCCGAAACACTCATATGATTTAAAAAAAAAAAAAAGCTTTTCCTTTTCGTCAACTAAACAAAAACTAATTAAATACACACACCCACACACAAAGACAAATAGATCCATCCATTCCGTACCTATCGTCCTACCACTACCTCGGCCGTTAGCAGCTGAGATTCATTTGCCGAAAGTTGACGTAAATCGAGGCAGTGTTGAAAAAGTGCACAAACGCGGCTGCCAGAACAAACACGTGCCATATTTGATGACTGGAAAGATATATGTCAAACTTTCCAGGAAAGAAAAATTCAGGTATCTGAAAGGCATACACAAACACTCCCACACCATACAATGCCATCATCAACAATAAACCCTCTACAAACGATGATGAAACGTTACCGGGGAGAAGAAGATAGATATGAACAATAGGAAAAAGTCCACTACCCACCATGCAAACGTAAAATAAGATTTTGGATCGTGCATATTGCTGCTGCGTCCATTCCTTGAAAAACGGTCCCAGCACGCCAAAAACGCCAAAAAAAGAAATCATGCTCAAATACGTCCAACGCCAAAACGGTTCACATGCAAATGAAAAGTAACAAAAGGGAAGAAACGAACCAACCACAAGAAATGTGATACCAAAATAGTCCAAAGAATGCGCCCATGAATACACTTTCCTGCTTTTGTGGGGCAGCAGCGTGTGAAATACCGTACTGCACAACATGCACATTAAGCAACCAAAAGAATAGGCGGCAAATAGAAAGTACGTCAGCCCCTTTGATTCACTAGCGGTGTTTGAGAATGCGTTTCCCTCATGTTGCTGTTGGTGCGACGATGGAATAAGAACAATCACAAAAAAACACACAACAACGACAAGAAACGCCAAAAAACCTACAAGATGGGTCCAAATGTTGAACGTCTCATTATGAAGAGCTATTATGCTACTTATGCACATTCTTGCCGTGTACCCCACACGGTATCCCGTTAATATGTACCGATTGTCGCAAAGATGTTCCGGTACCTGATCAATCGTGTACAATGGGAGATCGGCATTTTCGTTGTATGGCATTAACTTCGCGGTATCCGACGGCAATTCTTTTTCTCTCCCCTGCTGACTCACGGTGTCACCTTCACTGGTCTTCAGTCCCACCGTAACACTACCATCCCTGCCACTCTTAGCATGTGGCATCCCACGTCAACAACAATTACAGCCGAGCAATGGTTATAGTTTAAAGCAGGTGTTGCTTGTGGTTGTGTGCAATTCGTGAAAGTGAGGGATGTCGCGTGTAAATTTAAAAACAAACAAATAAAATAAATAAAAAGCAACAGTAAAGAAAAAGAGAAAGAAATACAGACAACATTCACAAAATAAAAGAAACATCGCACATCAAAGAACAACCACAAAAAAAGAAAAACACACGTGGGTTTAGATGTAATTATATTCGTCGCTCAATTTAACAGGCACCTCTGCTCAGCACCCACTTTTGATAAATAGATATGCATGTAAAAAAATGAACGCACGCCGCCACAAGAACAAACACATGCCATATTTGATGGCTGTTAAGAAAAAAATCAAACTCGCCAGGGTAAAAACGCTCGGGAATCCGCAGACAGTAGAAAAGCACCCCCATCCCGTAAAAAAGAAACATGAGAAATACGCCCACAAACGTCTGCATCGTTTCCGCATTATGGGGCGTAGAAAAAACATAGTGTACAGTTGGCACCAATCCACACATCACCGTTGCAACGTAAGTCATAATCCGTAACCAGTGAAATTTCGCATCGCGCAAAGAAGGCAACGCGGCCATCGCCAGGCACAGCCCGCCAAAGACGCACGCGCATCCCATGTAAAGCGCCTGAAACAATGGCTCGCAATAAAAGCCAATGTAGAGAGGTGGAAGAAAACTTGCCACGATAAGCACGCTAATACCATAATAGTCAAGCTGCTCCATTAATGACGACAGCAATGAATTTTCGTGGCCCAAAAACAAGTGATAGATGCTGCTGCATCCCATGCACATCATACAGGCAAAGCAGAAGGTTCCGTAGATAAAATAATGCGCAAATTCCGCATGGGTAAATAATAAGGCATCAAAAACCACAATCGATAACACCCCAAATAAGATCAGACCCACACCATGTGACCAGACGTTGATGGTCTCGTTGTGAAGTGCAAAGAGGCTTCGAAAGCACATACTGGTTGTATAGCGGGCTCGATATCCCGTAAAAATATATGGGTTCCCCTTAATATATTCCGGCACGCACACGTCATCCCTATTGTAAAAAGGCAGCAACACACCGGCCACATAAGTGAGATTTGAGCCTTCAACGTCTTTCTCATCCTTCCTTATTTTGTTATCGTCCTCACCTTTAGGGCTCCCAAGCATTCCCACATATATATATATATATATAACACTCGCTGGTACCTTCTTTTCAATAGAAAAAAACAGACGCTGCAATGAGAGCCCATCCGTTTATCAAAACAAAACAAAAAAAAAAGGGATAAAAAAAAAAAAGTATGAGAAATTCATACGTGCAACTGCACAAAAACCGCAATACACAAATACCATATCAATGTGCGCACAAGTACACATATGCGTCTTAAAAAGTTAAGCAAGATAGAGAATAAAAAAGGCTTTTCCACCAACCTCGGACAAAGACACACACACACACACACACACACACACATAGACCATCACCATATCATTCCTGCTTTATCTTCATATTATTAAGGGCAAACGTCAGAATTTTACAGAAGCCGACAATGCCTTCCAGGCCGATCGTACCTTTGTTATCCCTTCACTAGCAGAGAGCATGGCAGCAGCAGCATCGTTCTGCAGCACCAATAACCTCGTGGAACAAGACAAGACAACCAGATGTTCATCACCTGGGCATCCATCCTCACATTGACGTTTTCGTTTCATCGGTTGGCCAATATGTCGAGCCCCGTGAACGTACAGTGACATGTGGGGCGACAAGACACAATCACCACGAAAAAATTGACTCTGTTCCGCTTTACGGCGGACTTCAATCCCGTTGGTCTGTGTGGAGTCTGGCAATATAAAAACAAAGGATAGTGGTGTTGTTGAGGGCGTGTCCTCTAGCCACTGCAGGGCACGCCCCAAGCCGGCAGCAATCACTTCATGGTCAAAGGGAGGGTTCGCCTCCAAAGAAATTAAACCCTCCTCCGGAGGTGGCAGATGTTGCAAAGCAAAAAAATTGCCACGACAGCCAAAAAAAACATCCGTGTCAGGGAACGCAGAAAAATAACGCGGAAGCGTGCAATTCAATGGGCTCGCGAAACATTCCACGGACACTCGAAAGGCACTGACTAAAGCATCAAATACACTGTGGGGAACACCGGCGTGCCATCCAGATTCCAGCTGCCATTCCCCACCGCTCAACCCGGCGTAGCGCAACAGTACGAGGGCCAGAGAGAAAAGAAACTGGCCATCCTCGGTGCACACCGCCAGCCGCCGCAACCGGGTCACATGCTCCGCATGGACCTCTAGCGTGATGAGTACGTCGCGGGAATCCTGCCGCGCCAGTTCCTTTGGGCAAGCAGCATGAAACCACCCCTCGTCAGTTTTGTCACATATTTGAATTTCAAGGTTCACCATGCCGCAACCTTCGCGTTCAGTAAGTGTGAGGTCTCTGAGCTCAATAGCAGCCCCTTCACGCTTCATTCTCTCTTTAAGTCCCGCCAATCTTCTGCGCTCCTCGTAGAATAAAATGATCAGACGGTCCGTCAGCGCCCATGCCTTACGCCGTTTTTGGTTAAAAGAAGTGAGAAGCTTAGTGGAGGCACCGCACATTTTTTCAAGAAACCAATTCATTGCACTCTTCGAGGTGCGCTGCGGCTGAATGCACTCAAGTGCGGGCAATAAATTGTCGTGAAAAAGTGACGACTCTTCGGCCAGCCTCAGCTCATCAACAGAAACTTCTCGCCTGACTTCGTTGCCATTCTTGTCGTGCAATACTCCTAAGACGCAACCCTTCGTGAGCACAATACCCTCAAGCGTGTATATGGCCGACGGCGCACCGGGCGCTTCTTTCCTCTCGCACACCGCTGCCCGGCGATGTAAATCCAGTACAGGATGAACCCAATGACGGGTATCACCCTCCGCCACACCATGCAGAGCGGCGGATTGCAGTCCCTCAAAAATAGCCGCCGTCATTAGGCCTCTGCTCTCTTTTCGCTCACACGGGACTTCAGTTGTCGCAAGTGCCGCAAGTCTCTTCGCCAGGCGACATGCACTGCTGTAGCGAAGAACCTCCGTCAAGAGCCTCACTCGGAGCTGCGCCTGTGTGGAGGCGCACGTTTCTTCTACGGCACTCATTATTACTGTGCATCCATAAAGAAAAAAAAAAGTTTTATTTTTTTCATCCCAATGAAGAGAACGTTCCCCGTTGGGCCATTTGGAAAACTCAGGAAACACTCCCACACATACATAAAAAAAAAAAAAAAGAAACTCCCTCAATCTTTACTCAAAACAATAACAACAAAGCAGTGGCTGTAATTCACGACAATGTCTTATTTAAGGTCGGGGGTTTCTGCTAACGCCGTGCCGTTGTCCAATTGACTTTGGCGGTGGTCGTTTAAGAAATTGTTAATTCCATTTCATTACGATTGTCCCACACGGGCTTCCGCCGCTGCAATCAAAGGCAGATTTGCTCACAATTTCCTCCCGCAAAGAGAAATCCGCCCGAATCCCCCCCCTCAAAAAAGGTGCCCCAAATCCCTTTGGAGAGTCGGTTTACCTGTGACCAACGTTGGCGGCACCTCTAGTTTCCTTACAGACATGGTGCATCGCCCCTGTATACTCAACATTTGACTCGTGTGTCTCTAAGCAAGTGAAGTCGTAGAGTTTCGTTGATTAAAATGGGTCCCTAAGAAAACCCATTTTATACTTTGGACCAATTTTTCTTCTTTCACCGTCGCTCCGCGGTGCGGCTTTGTGGTTCGTGGCACTCCGCTTTCCCAGCATGAACACCATCTCTCTCTCTCTCTTTCTGTGGCATCCAAGCTGTCCTCTTGGTTTACTCGAGTGGAGTCGCCATCTCCACAAAAAACACTGCGTCCGAGTAAGCGGAGATGAGTCTCAATTTCACGTTGACTTCATAATGGTTTCAATCATTCGCCGGACTTGGCAACAAGGCAAAACGCCCATATTGGCACTGTTCCCTTTTCTTCCACAACCGAGAAGAGTGCGGCCCAAAACGCAGTTCAATTGCCGTGATTGCTGGTTATACCCGATTAAGGTCTTTTTTTTTTTTTGAATATAAAACATACAAAAAGAGAGTTCGTATCAGCACCTAAATCAAAGGGCGGCGCACAATTTGCATCACAACGCAAGAAGTTTCCTTTCAAATTCAAGAAGGAGGTCGTGCAGGAGCGTCTCTTTACGCGCGTCAAAAGCCTCATCGTCTTGTCGACACGCAAGCATCGCCTTCACCTGGGCATATTGCTCTTCTCTGCACTTGCTTACGAGTGCGCCAGTGCCTGGTAGCAACTTACCGGACTTTTTAAATTCCTTCATATATTGCTGCACAACCGCACGCAAACGCAGATCTACCTGGTGAAGCCAATCACTGCGGGAAGCCTTCGCTGCATCTCCCTCTTGCGGCTGGTCATGATCGCATCTCTCCCTTTCTCGCCGCTTCACCTCAGCTTCAAAGAAACTTGCGCTTTGTTTCTCCAATTCTCCCATCACCTCCGGTGAATGAAGTCGTTCTAAAAGCTTCTGGGCCAACGCCGCCGGAGGCAAGCAGCAGTTTGTCTTCACTTCCTCAAGCCATATCACCGGCCATGGAGTGCTGGCCTGACGAGGCGACACCACCCAACAATTATCGTCCGCACTAAACTTGGCAGAAGTGTCAACCCCAACGTCAAAAGAACCACCCATATTTTTTATGACATGAGGGGGAACATATTGTGGAGTTTCAGTACGGCGTTCATTGCGCTCGAGACAAATCTCAATCGGTGTATTAAGTCGAATCTCCACCATATTTACAAAAACAGCATCGAAAGGGACGCGGCCGTCGCATTTGTTCATTACTCCATCCCTTTCCAATTTGTGTTGAAACTGCTCCTTGCCCAAGTCCCTGCAAAGTTTCCAATAGGAAGCCCTCATACTTCGGTACGGTAATGTGTCTACCAAAAAAACAAATCGTGTCGTTGTGGACGACATATTCCTTCCCCTTTTCTTCTCCGGGTTTAGCAGGCATTGGCGTATCCGTTGGAATGTCGCCTCACGCACCTCATCGCACGCCCTTCTCCATGCTTCGGGGCTAAAATTAGACCCATTTCTTTGTGTCCCATCCCTCTCCTCATAGGAGGAAATAAATGTGTCCAACTCCAAGACCGCCTCAACCACCCCACCGTGACGAGAATTCGAACGTTCCCCCTCAGTCGTCACCTGCTCCGAGAGCCGCTGTATCGCCAGGCTCAATGTCGTTTTTCCAGCCCCTGGCAGCCCAGAAAGGAGAACAAGACATATTCTCATTGGGACCCAAGCGACTCACGCCATGCCCCTATTCACACACAAACACCTCCCCCGCGGCACTTTTCCTTCTGCCTTTTTCAAGACACCTCAGAAGAAGTCCAACCACAATTACCAAAAAAAAAAAAAAAAAAAAAGGCAAGGTATGACTTTGCCAAAAGGAGAGCTTCTCTTTTTTGCTGTCCTTCCCTTTCTCCCTGCCACTCACGTTCTTAGAACGAAGTGCCCTCTCTGGAGAAACATCATTCCTCAAAGAAGTTAACAACAGAATTATTAATTAACAAAAATGTACGCAAATGCGTCGTCCAACTGTGAACCAAAGCACCAATGAGTTCGCTCCAGAGAGATTCATTTCAATGCATGATCGCAAAAAGAAAAATGAAAAAAAGTAGAAATAGAGTTTCTTTATTGCCCCACTCCCAGGGTTGCGGACTTGGAACTTCAGTTCTTCGGTCCGGCACTCTCCCAACGGAGCCATCGAGGCAATGCAAGACCTCTCACCCGGTGTTCACACATAATATCTCACTTCCACCTCACCCCCCTTTTCTCCCCCACTGCGTTTCCCTCTTCGCCCTTTTCTTAGTTTAATAATATAGCACGGAGCCACGCCGCAACGTCAACATTGTCTTCTTTAAACAAATCAACCGTGACTTTTCCTCTTCTGAAACCGATGTTTCTGTCTCATTCGTCGCCTCGTTGCCCACCACCTCCAGTTGCTCCGTGAGAAGCGAGATAAGGTAGAGCCGTAGGTCCGGGTCATCAACGAACTCGGCACAAGAGAACATGTCACCGATCCATTTCGGGGTTAAAATGGTTTCATCTTCCGTTTCTTGTCGAAGAGACTTTTTTTGCTCCGTCAGGTGCCATGTCCCACGATTGCCACATGCCTGAACACTTCGAAGAGTCTGTTTTAAAGCCAACCGGAGCACTTTCAATTCAAGCGGTGTAATTTGGCCTTGCAAGATCGAGAAAAGATTTGAAAATGTCCGCTGTACATGGTACCACACACATGGCGATAAGAAATCACTATTCCTCTGTAAAATCTCACAGGCGGTGGATATGATGAATTTGTTACGCCGAAAGTTCGCGTAAAAAGCCCTCTTGTCTGTGACTCCTAAAACGATAAGCGGATGAAATAACGGTAGTAAGACATCCAAAAACTCATGACTTAATTTCTCATCAACTTGATGTACAGCCGTATCTTTTGCGGCTTTCTCTGTTTGCTCACTTGTCGTCAACGTCTCCGCAATCCAGTGCTTTTTCGCAAACCGTAGCATCGATACCAAGTAGCGATCAACGGGGGTCCGTGGAATTGGTAAAAGTGTCGCCCGCATCGCCACCACCCACATCAACTGCGCGCATCGTCGCAAGCACCTAAAGTCTTTATGCCTCGGTGTTCCATCTGAATGCATCTGCGGCTCGCGCGGCTTAACTTTTTCTGAGGCGGCCAATGCCGTCACGTTCAACACCTGTTTCCCCAACCGCCTCGCCTGCTTCAAGCTGGAGAAGGAGTGTGACAATTCGCGGTAAAGGGCGGCACCTCGCTCAATCATCAAGTTCCGTTGCTCCCAACTCATCTCGCGCAGGATGGCAGTATCGGTGGCATGTCGCAGTGCCACAGACGCCCCCATTAATACCTCTTCGTCCATCACATGAAAACGAACCGCGCGAAGCGTCATGTCAAAGCAATGCTGTGCCGTGTGTGAATTGATCTCCTGCACCTTGTCCGGAACCGACCGCAGTGCAGTAAGAATGAGCTCACGCACTCTTGTTGTGTACTGCGTATTTGAAGTGAAGTCAAGCAACTCCATATACTGTAATAATACAGCAATGATAAGCGGAGTAGGCTTTAGCGAATGATGATAAAAAAACTTCACGGCAATTGCATGAAATAAGTTCCTCAGCGTGACATCCTCCTCTCCATTAGACTCCTTTGGTTGAATGTCACGCAACAGTGCAGTGAAGGCAACAATGGCAGCAATGATCGCCTCCGTGTTCGCATCATCCAAAAAGGGTTGATCCAACACGCGTAGGACGCGCTTCGTCAACAACTGTAGGACTGTAGACAATGTTTGCATATCAATCCTCTCCGTTCTTTGCATGTATCGCACAAAATCCGCTGATTCGCCGATTAATTCACAAGCCACCTCCTCATCAGACTCCAAAGCATCCTTCAGCAGTAAAAAAGTTTTTTCAAGCTCCTTTGGATTCTCTAAAGGAGGGAAAAATCTGGAAAATGACATACGTGTTCGTACACTTTCAGACGATGCTGACACCGTGGAAGAGGACGAGGATTTATACGCCGTATCCAATGCATCCAAAATTCGATTCCCTCCCAAAATTAACCGCTCACGTAAATTACTGTCCGAATCATTACGAAGAGCAAAAGTCACATCAACAAGCAGAACCCGCATCATTTTAGGAGGCATTTCCGACAAGACCTGAGGAGTTGTCATGATGTCAATCCATAGTTTTATGGCATCAATTTTATCCGTACCTCGCAAGGAAAATAAGAACCCCGCCAGCCAAATCGGTAAATTAAAATCCTCGTTGAATTTCACACTCGTTGGATCATAGAGGCGTGCCTTTTGTCGCCACAGCCGCTTCCCAAATTCATGTAGGCGGCTGTCAAGACAACCCATCAGATGCGAAATGAGAATCCAGTCATCTGCTCGCGGTGGTGCATCCTCGTGACGGAACGCAGGGAGGGATTCCACCCCCCGTATCACAGCTTCCACAATGTGTGCAGCAAGTGGCATCGGATTGAAGACTGTTTCCACGGCACCATCCTTACACCGCGCCGCGCGTGAAACAGTGACGTGGCGCAGCGTAGAAATAAGAAAAATCAGCTCGGGTTTCTCAAACTCTCGACCCCCTCGCTTGTGCATTTCCTTTTGCGACAGAAAGCCATAAGGGACACCCTCACGTATGTCCTGCCCCGCCCTTGGAATCCGGCGAATGACACGCTCCAGGAGATCCTCCACAAGAGCATCGTCCTGCACCAGTGCCGCAGGCGAATCCGATGTTGATGAGTCACGCCTTTGGCGCGAGAGTTTTCTTGTCATCGTCAAGTAGAGAGGCGTGGACAAGTTCTGATTGACGCTCACGGATCGAATAACGCGCCGCATCGCCTCTTCAACTTCCGCATCGTCTCGCAAACGCTCAACCAAAAATGTCAAGATGACTTTGGTAGCTAACCGCGTGTTATTCTCAAAGAGTGTAGAAGCATGCGGGCAGTGCAGCACAATCTTAAACATATTCATCGTGACAGTGGGGCCTCGCAAATCCAACGGGATGCCCCGCAAAAAATTCAGGACCAGGTAAGCATCCGCCGGCCTAAAGGATGGCTGGGGAGACTCAAATAGGCGAGTGATCACCTGCAGAATTTTGGGCACAGAAACCATTTGCCACACAAGCCAATTTCTCCTCGCGTGAAGGTCTCTAACTGTAATAATGCCCCTCCTCCCCTTACTATTATTGTTAATATATATTTACATTTTGGTGGTTGTTAGCAGAGCCCAAAACGTTACAAAAGACCAACAACAACAACAACAACAATAATAATAATAATAATAATAATAATAATAATAATAATAAAACGTCAAATCAAATCCAATTTTACATAGAGAGTTGTGAGAGAATGGGACTCCTTCATGCTCGTAACTTCAGCGCACACGTTTGCATACGCAGGTGTCTATTTGGCAAAAAAAAAAGTCTCGTTCACTTGTCATTTCTTCTCGAGAGACAATCCCTGACTGAACGCAGCTCACCACCATCACCCTCATAATTCGTGAGAAAAAAAGTTTTATACACATGGCAGAATCCGCATAAAAAAAAATATAGTAATATATATATACATAAACATCACCGAGTACACACGCACACACACACACACAGACACACAGTCACCAAAAATAAAAATAAAAACACCAACGCAAGCACACATGTCTTTACCCAGTCAGACAAACTCCGATTGGTTTACTTTCTGGTAAATGACACCTATTAAAACTTGCATTATTTCTTTCATTTCTCTCAAAAATAATTAATTAAATAAATAATTTCCTGCGCATCCACTAGACATTCTTCTTCTTTGTAAAGTAGCGCTCAAGGTATTTCTCAGACCACACGGTCAGTACGATAGAGAGAATCACATTGAGAAAAAGCATCCCCACTGTGATGTAGTACGTCGACTGCGTGACTTCATCAAACATGTGGAGACGGTTTTCGATTATGCGAACTTCGTCAAGAGCGACTTGCACACAAATATCCAACATATTCAACCGCGCTTCGTAGTCTTTAGCGTCTACTGGTTTGTCAACAGCAGGCATTCCCTCTGCTGTTGTTATCGGATCTATAAGATCCTTTTCTCCAAGAAAGCGCATCTCAAAACGTAACGAAGGCTGACTCAATGGTGTGCGCATACAAAAGCGATAAGTGCCAGTCTCTGTCACCTTAAAAAAAAGTGAGGATGGGGAACCAAAAGAGTCAATGCGCTCATCCAAAGTCACCTGCGCTCCACTTGGGGCGTACAGGCGGGTGCGTATGTTGACATTTCGCGGGTCAATTCCACGGTGACGGATGTCCACGGTGGGTGGGTCATCCTCTGGGTCACGATAGCCCTCATAGTTGAAGCACAATTCTTTTCCGGGAAAAAGTCGAATGTACACCTCAGCCGTCACAGGCTCCATCGTCGTCAAGAGAAACACCAACAATAAAGGGAAGAGAACGTCACAAAATTTGCGTCGCATTTTTTGTTTCATGTGTGTCGGGTGAAGAAAGAAAACAAGCCTTAATAAACCTTAGCGTTTCCAAAAACGACAAAGAAAGAGATATCAGCAGATGAACCACCTATGGCCCTCCACCGCCCTGTTGTGGCTCTAAACCCCCTTTCGTGTATGCGGAAAAAAGAAAGTACAAATATGGCTACGTGTAACAGAAATAAAAAATAAAAAGAAAAAAAAAAGTCAATAGGTGTAAATTTTTCTCTTCAGTTATTTATTTGCATACACCGTACGTCATGGCAAGAAGAGCAGAAAAAATTTAGGGGCATGATACCCTCACTCCTTTAATGTCCCTTTTGTTTTATCGTTCGACTTTTCTCCAACTACTACAGCAATGTGTCATCTCCACCTCCTCGTAATCCATTTTTATCGCTTCTCGTATCTCCATGCACGCAGAAAACACAGTTCCCTCTCCTTCTCCCTCTCTCATCTCATAAAAACTCATGCATTTCTTTTTTTTTTTTTTTTTGCTTTGTTGTTTTTATTTTTCTCATTTCCCCACCTATTTTCACCCATTTGTTTCACTCTTATTTTCCCTGCGATGCGAATCCGCCGCATTTTGTCCTTTGGTCATCACCACCATTTCGACAATGCCTTTTTCGCATGGTCCCAGGCGGAGCTCCCTCGTTGCTCACGGTCCTGCTGACGCCTCACGCGGCCGGAGAGTGTGTCGTCTTTACTGCCGCCGCCAGCCAACACCAGCGCCGTTTCATAAATGGTGTTGGTCAAACTCTCTAGATACGAGGGCCGCTTCGATGGAGTCTCTCCGCCGTAGTAACTACGATTGCTGCTCAAGTGACTGCCTCCATCGCCACCGAAGATTTCCTGGCTAACCACTTCATCCCGTACCACAATTGACTCAAAACCAGCGTCCGAAAGAACCTGTTGGAGTGCCCGGGTTTCACATGTTATAAACAATCGCGCCCGTCTCTGTTCTAAAAAGATGGAAAACGACAAAACACCACGTGTGGATTGAAAAATATCCTCCACGAGTGAGAGATCATCCCCATTTCGGGGGTCAAGGGCGGGTATATCGAGCTCAACGGTGTGAATCGCATCTAATCCAACGCCTCGTAAGACGCGCGCAGCACGCGAACGCCGTTTTATCGAGTTTTCATTCGCCGCATCGTCATCCATGCGATCATTGCTGCCGCTAGAACCCGTTTCTTTCATTTTGGGTGCCTCCTCCCTTCTGGGGTCCCGGCCCTGCAGAGCAGGCTCTAGTAGGTCAAGAAGTTGATTTGCCAATTCGTAAAGCTCTGGATCGTCGTATTGGGCATCCTTGTAAACCTTAAATACCTCCTGTACGAGCGCACGCTCCTCCGCCAACAGCTCCACGTTCTCGGGATGTTGTGCCAAGAGATATAGAGCGTCGAGAGAGTACTGTCGCGTCTCTCTGTCTTTGCTCCCTAGAAAGCGGACCAACGCCGGAAGTGTACTGCGGCGTGCAACCACCGGACGATTATCGTAGTTTTTGCTCAGCATGTGAAATCGTTTCACAAGCGCGAGCTCCGTGTTCAGCGATGCCATGACTCGTTATTTTTCCCCGCACACGCGATGTCGGTATCTACCTTGAAACGTGCAAACGCACCTCTCCTCCTCCTCCTCCTCAAGAGGTCCTAAACTTCCTTCTTTTACCTCCCTCTCTCCCTGCGCCGCAGCCCCCCTCCAAACACACACAGAGAGACGCGGCAGCGTGGGTTATACCCGGGATTTCCTTCAAAGTAAAAAAAAATTAAAATAAAAAAACAGGCATACACTCATACCCTTGCCAGCAGTAACGCAAGAAGAAAAAACACAAAACTTTTGTTGATTTTTTTTTTTTTTACTCATCTTCTTTCAAGCAAATGGCCCGCACCGCGATAATACGTGCCGTCAGACCTCATGGCGTCACGACAGTGCAGCAGCACGACGCGGCTGGTCCGGGCACTGGTCGATGCCCTTAGTCTTGTGCACACGATAACAGTCCCGTGAGAGAAACATGACTTTCTTTTGACTTCCCCCCCCCCTCCGACAATTCAGGGTGCAATTTGCCCTGGCGACACGATGGGGTGGCCGGCGTTGCCAGGGGATCCAAAAAGCATAAGTAACGTCAAAAATAGCAGACTAAAGGAAATCAAACACAACATAAAACCAAACAAACACGGGCAAAAGTGCTGATAGAGGTAAAAATATCACAACTGATAACAAAAAAAAAAAAAAAAAACTCGGACACCTTCTCCCCTCTCCTCTCCTTCCTCCTTTTATACATTCTTATTCTTTTTTTTCATGCATTTCGGTTTCATGCCCCATCGCTGATGTCACTTGCCCAAAGAAAATAATGTAAGAAAAAAAAAATCAAAAACTACGACCTGTTGCTTTGAATTGATGTATGAATGTTTGCACATATTTGCGTCTTCATCGGTTATTTCGAAACTTTTTTTTTTCAATTCCGCTTGTTTGTTTTTCCCTTTTCATGTTTTTCTCCTAATCCTTATCCTCCTTTTTTTTCTTTTGGGAATTCCAGTGTCCTCCTCACACCTGCTTAATGTTTCTTCTGCGATCCGCGGGCGTTTCTAAACATTCTCGCAGGGGGTTGTGGCAATTTTGAATCCGCCCTTTTTGTCACGCACAATCTTGGAAACAAACTGCTCCGGTAGAGGCCGCTCAATGATGTCGCTGGCGTCCTCTTCCGAGGGAAAGTTGACATTCACTGCAGAACTGCATGCCGTAACAATCTCCGTTTGAAGCGCTTCATCCCTTTCCATAAGGTATAAATTTACCGATGTGCTCTTCTCTACAGAGGCGGTTGGGACGGCTCGGTGCACTTTCACGTCCACGTTCCCCGACTTCAGCACCTCAAGGGAGGACACCACGCTCTCCATCACAATCTGTATTCGGTTGCAGGAAAAAACAGAAACCGAATTCACCTTACCCTTAATTTCAACCATGACATATTCACAGTTGCAAATCTGTACGGCATGCCGCATGTGCACCTTGTCAAGAGTCAATTTTTTCTGCTCGGCACTTGTACCCTTCTGGTACTTCACAACCCAGCGCTTATCGCCCTCCAGCTGCAGCACCGGTTCATCCACTGTAGCAGCGGCCGTCAACTTACTTTGCTCTTGACGCCGTGCATCCGCCTCGGCCTTTTTCACCTCAAAATCAGAGAAGTCTACTTCGCCGTGCTGAATCTTCTGCTTGTACGCCTTTTCGTGGTCCTGCACGTGACGCAGTCGCGTCGCGATGTTGTCACCGCAGCTTTGAATCTCTGCAAAAAGAGCCGATGCAGCACCGCCAACGGTCGTGGTCCTTTCCCCCGAAGCAGCCTTCGATGGCGGTGGCGGCGGTGGCGGTGGTGGTACTGGCATCTTTTTCTTCTCTCGCGATTCTTCGACTACGACTTCACTCGTGGGGCGGGAAATGCTGCAACACACACACACAATCGACAGCGCGGCAAGAGCCACAGTAAAAAATAATAATAATAAAATAACAACAACAGGAACGCAAACAATAAACAACAACTATAAAAATGGCCACAGAAGAGAAAAAGGAGAAATTCATCAAAACAAGAACAAAAATCCAATTAAATAAATTGCAAAAACAACAACAACAACAACAACAAAAACGCTTCAAAAGAAAAGCCAAAAAAAAAAAAAAAAAGACTCCAAAGAACCACTGGAGAAACTCTATATGACTGCTGCTGACAACGTTGCACACGTCTATATGAGGATTAAAAAAAAAAAAAAAAAGCGAATGTCCAAAACAACAAATATAATAAATCGACCTCTTGTATGTGTATATATGTATACATCGCACAATTCGTCGTGCCAGCGGAGACACTCGTAAAATTTCTAGAAATATGCCAATAAATAAGTTGCCTTCTTTTCTTTTCTTTTTTTTTTAAATTTGTGTGTGCGTGTGTGTTTGTGCTGCTCGTCCCTTTCGTGCCCTTTTCACCCCAGTCAACAGGTTGATCACATCTTGTCGACATTGGATAAAATGAGAATCCCTCCCACTGGAAAAAAAAAACCAAAGCGAAAACCAATAAAAAATGGAAACCCACAACAAGCCATTGCCACAACTTTTGTTTTTTTTTTTATTGTTTTTGATACGCTCTTTTTTTTTTTTTTTTTTTTTTGTCTTCTCCTTTATGTGTTTTGGTTTCCTCTCATGTTCAATCGTGCCACGAACCAGAAATGTAAAAACCATTTGCGACAAAAAGGCAGATACGCTAAAGCATGTCGCCCACCTTCAACCACTTTTCGCGCGCACATACAAATACCCAAAAAGAAAAAAAGCAGAAGAAGAAACGTAAATACATACGTACAAAGGCACACAACAAATAAATATGGAACGCGATTCAATCAAGAAGTTCGTTGATGAGAGACCGCCAACGCCCCAGAGTTTCCACAAACGATGGCATGATGTCTTTGAGGGCTGAAGTGGAACAATTACGCAACGGAATAGAAGTTGAGAGAAGCACAATGCCGCTTTGCAAAGACATGCCGATGCCGCCACCGCACACTTCACGTCCCAGCAAAGAACCTTCCAACAGAAGTTCATACAGCTTAACACGCACCGCGGCATCCACAGGAAGCTGCGTCAGTAGAGTCGAGTACACATATAGTCGCTCGGTTGCGTGATCAAAGGTAACCAAAACGGTGTGACGTTCATCTGTGCCAATAACGCAAGTGAGATTCATGTCAAATTGCAAAGAAACCCCTAATTCTTCACTGAGCTCCTGCAGATTAGACTTGGCATTCTGCAAAAGATCCACAAGAACAGGTCCCGTACGCACGCCGCCGTCACCGCACTTCTGACGCCCACGCAACTCTGAAAGTTCCTGGTGAAGTCGATCAACTTCATTGCGCAGCCGCGAATTTTCTACCTCCAGTGTCGCGCTAAGAGAAGAGCCTATGTTTTTGCCATTGTTTTTACTATTCATTTTGCTTCCAAGAGCAGTACTAGATACCACATTGGTTTGGGAAAGGCCATCTGACATGCTAGATGGATCTACATGACTTACCGTCGCCGTTGTAAGTGGACGCGAGGAAGGACGCTCCGAATGACGCGCATGCGTATCTGCGCTTGTCGCACGGTGTGTGCTGCTGCTGCGCTTCTCTCCTGAAACGTGTGGGGTAGGATCGCTTGTCGGTTTACTGCGCACCTCTGCCGCCACTGTACCGCGGCGCGGAGATACTAATTGCAACATGGAATTGTTCTTCAGTCCAAAATCTCCACCCACCGCGCTGTCCTCCAGCACCACACCGTCGTGAAGGAGTAACTGTCCATCCGGAATACCGTATGATTTGAGGTACCGCCGTATCTTTCCCACACTCAGTTTTCCTAAATCTCCACGGATCACCATCTTAAACTTGCGGCCATCCTCACTTTGAACAAAAAATGCCTGCTTGTCATCCATTTCTTCGCCAAAAAGGTCCTAACGTTTAAAACTGCGCTGTTTTCTAACAGGAATATATATATATATATGGTGTATTTGCACGTCTGCCGCAGTCAGCTTAGGTGTATCTGAACTGACAGACGGTCGTCGCCCGGACGAAAGCAACCCAATTTCTTATTTCTCTGCCGCCTCCCTTTTTACTCCCTTTTACTTTATTTTTTTATTTTTTGGTTCCCTTCGCTCCCTGTAAAGACACAAGAAAGTTAGAGAAAAAAAAAAAAAAGAAACCCTCATCCTCGAGTTCAGCCCCCCCCCCCCCCCCCCGCTTTAACAACAGACATATAGAGACAAAAACATGCCACATCTCACTTCTCCTTCTCCCTCCCAACCACAGAAAGGATGTGAGGAGGAAAAGAACGAAATGTAGCCAGTAAAATACACACAAAAACAACGATAGCAAAAACACAACAACAACTAAAAAACAGCAAACTCAACAAAAAGTCAACATCAACATGAAAAAAAAAGGGAACGGGAAGCCAGTTTCATTCCCGCAACGAAATCTGCGATATCCGCGGATGACGGTCAATTCACACACCTGCACACACACACACAAAGAGACACGCTCCGTTTTTGTTTTTTTCCTTTTCTTTTTCCCCCTCTTCTCTTTTCTATTGAAAATTCCCTACGACCACATCCTTCTCAGAACTGCTCCATGATTCTCTTAACGAGTAGGAGGAACTGTGGCATGTGAGGATTATCGGATTTGACTGTAATGTTCACAGAACCGGATTTGTGCAAAAAAAGCTCAATCATGAAGTACGTGGTGTCGTCTCCCTCCTCCTGGGCATACAAGTAGTACTTCTGCGCGTCGCCCTGAGCACCAGAAGCCAATGTAATAATGCCACATTCTTCCAGACCCTCCTCAAAGGTCTCCGTATCCGGTACCTTCTGAAGCTGCAGCTGCAATGTGGATGTCGCTTTTTCACCTAATGCACCCCAACGACGTTGAAATTCGTGTGGCTCAATGCTCGGATCCTCTGACAATTCAAAGCCACTGTCCATGAGTCCAAGGACTGGTCTTTGCCATCCAAATCCCATTCCGTTCGGTTCTTGTGCTTCTCTGCTAGCGGAAGCCATCGACATCATTCCTTCATTTACTGCGTGTTCCTCATCATTTTGTTCTTCCTCATCCTCGTCCTCCTCCTCATCTTCTTCTTCGCCCCCCGCTGCTGACGGCTTCATGAAGCTGTCGCTCGTCTGGTAGTACACAACAGAGAGGGTGTCAAACTCCTCAAAGAGTTTGTCTCGCAGCGCCGCGTTCTGCTCCTCCACAAAATATTTAATCTCCGCCATTGGACCGCAAATAATTTTGTTCGCCGCCATGAGGTTCTGACGAAGAAGTCGATGATAGAGCAGTGCCTGGTCGTGCACATCGGCATGAGAAAAATCATTGATGAGTAGTTTAAACATCGTTCCAAGCACCGGCTGCATCTCGGGAGGTCGTTTAAAGAATAGCTTCACGGCAGAAGTGAGAAATTGCAGACGAAATTCCGGCGGTTCTGCAAGTAAATTTTCATTGCACATGACTTCAAGAATGTACGGGGCATCCTCAATGTGCTCACCGAGTTCTCCCAGGACCCACACGAGCGCCACTCGGCTATCTTCATCCACAAAGTTCATCTCGTGATAGACCCTCACAAGAGCGTCGAGAAATGGACGCACGACCTCAATGTCGCGGTATTTGCGCAGGTAATTCTGCATCACAGCAAGGCTCTTACCACGGACATGATCCGAGTCACTTTCGAGAAAAAGTAAAAAGTGCTGCAGCACCTTCTGTGCAGTGCAAGGGAGACGCAGTGCCACTTTTCCCATTGCTTCGATAGCCGCACCCCTTACGGCTTTGTCACGTTCTAACGCATAGGCTGCAAACTCCTCAAGGATGTCGGTTGATGATGCTTCAGTCGCCAACATGGACAATATTTCAATCTTCACTGCCTTCACATAGGTAGGCTCCATGTAAAGGCAATAAAAGACCCTGTATGAGTCCTGAAACACGCGTGGTTCACGCTGAACAAGAAGTTTAATATGGCACAACACAACGTAGGACACCTCCATTTTGGAGCATGACGATAAAAGCGAGAGAAGAGGAAGTTTAAGTCTGTCAAAGACTTGACGATATACCGCAGGGTAATTTTGTGTGAGGTAAAAAAACACATTACTGGCACTGAGGATCAAGTCACTGTTGTTGCTCTGAAGTCGTTCCTCAAGAAGATTCATAATGTCAAACATCTCCTCTTCGCTTGTAGGGGTGTAGCGGAGGACGAGATTAATAATCTGCGCCTGGTGCCATTCGGGAACGCTACGCAATTTGTTCAACAAGTAATATAAAATTGGCTTTGTCACTTCAAACACGCCTTCTGTGGTACCGTTGGCCTCGGCATCACGCGAGACCTCCACGAGAACGGCAAGGGCGTTGCAACACACCAGCGAATCGCTGTCACGCAACATTCCCAGCATCCGCTCAAAAAACCGCTGTTTATGAAACTCAACTGGGGAAATACGAAACACTTTTAGTGCGCAAAGACATGCGGTTTTCCGTACATGAGCCGAAACGTCTGAAAAGCCCTTCTTTACGGCAGGAATTAAAAAGACAAATAACTGCGGTAGACGTAACGACGCCAGTGAACGCAAGGCGAGGCCACGCACCAGCGGACTTTCCTCCCCGCATTCCTTCGTGAGGGTGTTAATACTTAACAGCGCCAGCTCCGCGTTGTTTTCTGAGCGACTGATGAGGTAAAAGTAAATAAGTTTCTTGCTGACAATATCCGTCGTGCCACACGCCAATATCATCTCCGTAAAGAGACTTGAGGTGTCAACTCCCATCGTCATAAGGGCAATCACTTTTCGAAGAAGTTCACGCTTGCGAGTGAGATTCTTCTCAATCTGTGGATCCCTAAAACCCTGCCGCAGCTCGTTCACTTCACTCCGCAACTCCACTGGCGTGTTTGAAGACATGGAGGCCATTGCCCTGTCGGTAATTTAAGATATATATATATATATATGTGTAGATACCGTTAAAAGACAAAATCTTGCGCCCTTGTCGCGTCGCTAGCAGACACCGGATCGATCTCCTGCAGACGCTGCGGTGGCGAGAAAGAAGGGAAGAGAGGAAGACCAAAAATAAATAAATAACTAACTAAAAAGGAATCCTTTCAACTGAAGAAGCAAAAGGAAAAAACAAAAAAGAAATTCAAGAAAATTGACATTTGTTACCCCCAGCCCAACACACAAGAGTAAATACGCATGTGTACCAGCATAGAGAACAGCGGGCGAAGCCAACTCCTTATAATCCACATCTCATTCCCTCTTCACACTCCTTTTTACTCTTTCGTTTCCCTCTCCTCCCCTCTCCTCATCATCGTCACCATCTTCCTCAACCCAAAAATAAAAGCCACGGAAAAGGGAGACGCGCGCCCACACCGCCAGCACTTCCCATTTGATATTTACGTTGGCGCACGTCTTGTTTTGCGCATTCCCTTCCAGTTTTGTTCCTTCGTTTGAGTGGCATGCACGCGCGAAATAAATAAGCAGCAAACACACACACAGACAAACAAAACAAAAATATGCTCGCAGAGGGAAAAAGAAGAAAAATATATAACCCCGAAAAGAACAATTCTGGACAAACCGGCGGGTTGCCCCATGAGCCCCACACACTTCCGTTTTTCTGTTGTTGTTTCGTTTCCTTCTTTCCTGCTTGTCGTTGAATGTAAACTTCATTGAGGGCCCGCTATTTCTTCCATTCTCGCACGTGACGGCACGCCGTCCGTGAAAAACTGAGGCACATAAAAATGGTAAATAAAACAAAATATGTAAAGACTCGGGAGAAGACAATCCCCTTTATTCTGTTGTTGTGACGTTCAGTCCAACACGCATACACGCATACAAACATTGATATCCATGTATACATATAATACATATATGTATTATTTAGAGGTTTATCTACGTTCATTTTTCTTTTCTTCTTCCTTTCTTCCTTTGGGAAAAGAAAGAAGGTCCCTCACCTGCAGGTGGGAGCGGCGGCGACTACACCGCCTGAAAATAATTTTCCTGCGGGAAACAATCATGAGCCCACAGACACACAGACACGTATAATATTATATACAAGTGTGTATGTTTGTGCATGCTGTTTCCCTCAATTTCCTCTCGTTGATAATCGTCTCGGACACTACTCGCTTCCAGTCAGCCGTTTCATCCACAAACACACAAAGACACACACATTGACTCACTTTTTAGAGGCAGCCAAAAAGAAAAAAAAAAATAAAAAAAAAAATAAATAACAACAAAACACACGGCAAGCAGAAAAACGCTCCCGCCAACACAAACACAAAAACATGTGATAATAAATGAAGTGGGAAAATGGCAATGGCTTGGCTCCCGTCGGGTGTAGTTGTGGCATGTGTCTACGCACCTGAAAAAACTCAGCGACTGAAAGAAGACCGGCCGACAATCACCCAAAAAAAAAAAAAGGGAAGGGAACGCCCCAAAGTACTCCTAAACAAATGACACACACAAAAAAAAACAAAGAAAAATATTTACAGGCGGAGGGGGGAAAATAAACTGAAAACAAAACAAAAACAAAACAAAAAAAACATAAAATTATGAATAAAAAATCAATCGGATGCAGAAGAGACACAATTCACCTTTCCCCTCAAAAATCCCTAACACGTTACTCGATACATCAACTGCAATCGTTAACTTGAGTGGGAACAAAATGAGTAAAAACAAAATGCAAAATCAAAAAGACCAAACAAATACGACAGAATTCCCTCTTTTTTCCCTTTTTTGTAATGTGTTCCCCCTCCCCCTTCTCTCTCTGTCGTCACTCTCCACCTGCGTGAAAATTTGTGTGCCTGCACCCTACGGGAAAAGAAACGAAACGATGCGCGTACTCCACGAACACACCGCAGACCACATGTCCAGAAACACACACGCACCCACACACTTGTGCGGGCAACAACCCAAAAATGCAAACAGGCCCCGCACGCACCCACGCAGACAGGCGTGAAGAAAAAAAAAATGGGGAAAAAAAAATGGAAATTAATGATGGCGATGATGATGGAAGCCTTGAACAGCAAAAAAGAAAAAAAAAAAGAAGAAACAACAAACAAACAAACAAACAAAAACAGCACAAATGATGTAAAGCAAAAATAAAATAAATGCAATAAAAGAGGAATAGAATAAATGCTGAGGCTGTAATAATCACAGAAATTTGTGCGCCTGAGCAAAGCCCAAAATTCACTTTCCTCCCTCCCAGGTGAGGTCCTGGCTGCATGCAGTCTTTTTTTCCCCCCGCTTTGCCTCTGGACGTAACTTCCTTTTTTTTTTCTCCTCCAGGTGCGCTCCGTTCGCAACAAATCCTCCACGACGGCAACAGAGGGCCATGAGCAGCGACGGCAAAGAAAAAAGCCGCAAAGAAGACAGAAGTCAGAAAATTGCAAACCAACCACAAAAAGGAGCAAAATAAAGTACCACAAAACGACGGGACGTTCCCCCTCCTTTGAAAGGAGGAAAAAAAGCAGTCCGTAAACGTTGATGTAAATGAATCTCTACAATCGACATTTGTTAGCCATTCCTCCCACTCATTTTTTTTTTTTTTTTACTGTTTTGATCAAAGAGTTTGTGTTATTAAAATTATTTCTGTTTCTTCTCCTTTTCCAGCTGTTGTTGCCGCTGAGTATAAAATAAATATGTACGGATGTATGCATATAAAGCCATCCCTTCCGTGTCTACTAAAACCTTTATATATATATAAGCATTTACTTATTTCTTTTTTAGTTTCTTTTTTTTTTTTTTCTCTTCAGACTACTTTTTCTTTTTTTTTCTGTCTCTCTCTGCATGTTTGTTTTTCACGCAGACACAGCTGTTAGTACCAACTCTTCTTTTTTTTTTTTTTTCCTCCATTGACACAAATCACTGTTTCTTCGTTTATTTTGTTGACCGCACTTTTATTAAAAAGTTGTCTCCGTTTAGTTTTGTTGTTGTTTTCGTATTCCCCCCCACCTTTCTCCCTGCCTCCTTCTCACTGACGCTGCACCTGCGCCTCCCCGGGCAAAACAAAAAAAAAAACGTTTAAGCAGCGAAGCTAAGCGTCCACCGGAGAGTTTTTTTTTTTTTTTGGTTACATGCCGCTCGACGTATCAAAAAGGCTTGGTAATTTCAGTTATTATTATTGTTGTTGTTGTATCCCTTGCGTCGCCTGCCGGAGTTCCTGCTGCCCTCGCTGCCACCGATGAACCTCCATCCCCTTCTACCCCGTCTTTGCCTGAAACTGCCGGTGCTCTGGTCGATATCTCTCCCCTGCTGCGGCTGCTCCACCCCATCCTTCTTGGCTGCTTCATGCGCGATACGTATGGAGTCAAAGAAGCACTGGTCATCGTCCGCCCAGGAGGAGAGTACAGACTCCTGCTCCTGCAACGTCGAGTTCGTCAGTGACTCCACATAGCCAAGGACTTTCCCAGCACTCACCGGGACACCGTTCAATTTCACGCTCCGTGACTTGACGGCGTCCGCGTAACTCTCTCCACCGGGAAGTCGGACTATCGGC